ATGGCTGAATAAGGCAGATGTAGTGTCCATTTTCTATCTTGAGATGGCCCAGTCACAGGAGAGATGAAGTAAATGAATCATAGAGCATGAGGGTTAGAAGGGACCTCAGGAGGTCACATCTAATCCAACCCCTGCTCCAAGCAGGACCAGCCCCAACTGCATCATCCCAGCCAAGGTTTGTCTACCCGGGCCTTAAAAAACCTCCAAGGGTGGAAAGTCCACCAACTCTCTGGGTAACCTGTTCCAGTGCTTCACCACCCTCCTAGTGAGAAAGTGCTTCCTCATATCCAACCTCAGCTTCCCTTGCTGCAACTTGAGCCCATTGCTCCTTGATCCTTGTTGTTCAGAAGCCTTAACCAAAGCCCAGGAAACCACAGGAATGATCTTCATTGCATTCAGAAGGTTTTGAATCAGGGGAGTTTGGAAATTTGTTTGCAAGTTCTGCTTTGGTGGGTGGATGGATGACTTGTGTTTCTGGGACTGTCTGCCAGGAAGATCCCTGGCAATTTCCATCAGCCATTTCTTGGCAGATCGGTGGGATGGTCCAAACTTCTCTGCTTGCTGCCTCCCTCGGCCTGAACCTTTGCCTTCCCTCCCATCCCTGCTCTAGTCTCATGACTTCTCCTTAGCATTTTGTTGCCTTCTGGCAGCATGGCTTTCCCGAAGTTGAGTGAGTCAGGTCTGTGGTGTTAGGCAGGCTTGGATCTGCCTTTGAAACAGGTTTAGAGACTTGCAAGTTTGGAAGGAGTGTCAAGGCTCATCTAGTCCAACCCTCTGCACAGAGGCAGGAGTTCCTGTTCCTAAACCATCCCAGACAGATGCCCATCCAGCATCTGCTTGGAAACGTCCAGTGAAGAAGATCCCACCCCACACCAGGTCCATTGTCCTGATGCTTGTACAGGATGTGCTCTCAGTCTGCTTTGCTGCAGTTTCAGCCCATTGCCTCCTGTGCTGCCCTTTTGAGGCACCTTTTGGTTCTGTCCCTGAGTCATGTCACCTCTCTGGGCAGAGCTTCTTTGGGTAGCATCCATAGGCACCAACTTTTATTTTTGCCAGGGTGAGGAGGGTTACGGTGATGGCCATGTGGAAAGTTTTATGTATTTCAGGTGACAGCCCTCTTCCTGAGAAGGTCCCTCAGGCCCCCATGTATATTTGGCACCCATGGTAGCATCTAGACTCATTTACTAGCTGAGCAGCAGACATTGTCCAGGGCTGTCGGTTTGGTACCTGGGTTTTAAACTCTTCACCCTCACTCCTGCTCCTGTTTTTCATCTCCTTCCTCCCACCCAGAGTTACATTCTAGGTTTGGTGCCCCCTCCCCATGCCTTAAGTTTGCTCTGATTTTTCAGCCATGCCCAACTCAGCTTTGCTTGAGCCCTGCCAAGCAGAGATTTCAGGAACAAAAATAAATTGGGCTGCAAACGTCACAGGCACCATTGCCTGAAAGAACTGTTTAAAATTCCTTTTTTGCTCATTCTTCTTCCCCATCCCTGGGGATTAATACCGTAACCCTCTGATCCCATTCCCTCCTGACGAAGCTTCCAATGACCTAAGCGCTTGTCCTGTGTGGTTTCACCAGAGCACAATTTTGAAAGGGGCCCATCATGTTAAAAAATAGTTGTCTTGTGAAATCATTGGTTATGGCCAGTGATTTTCTAATGACAGGAGACTAATGGCTAGAAGATATTCTTTCCAGAGATGAGACGTTAGGTCGTCTCAGTCCTGCCTGGTGTTAAAGGGGCTGATATCAGCTGCTGGACAAACAGGGAAAGTTTCCAAGCCCTGTATAGAAAACTGGAATCTGAACTTCCAAGCAATATAAGCAAGGGCCTCTCCAATGTTTTTGTGACTGACATTCAGATGAAGACAAAAATGAGTGTTGGGATACTGTACAGTAAAAGAAACAAAAATCGTGTAGAGTACAGTAGCACTTATTTGGTGGAGTGCTTCCCACATCTATCAGAGGTGGAGAGATGGCTCCCATTACTGTAGTGTCAGAGCACTTTGAAGTTTGCAATGTGTTTGCCCCAAAATATCCCTATGAGGTACCAGCGAAATGCAGGGCCAAAAGGGACTTCAAGCAATTGTCTTGTCCAACTCCCTGCAGTGAGGCAGCAATATCACTTGCACTTTCTAGCTAGAGAATGATGGTACCAAAGATGAGATTCAGAAAAGCACCTTAGATGCCTCCAACGTAGGTATGGTCATTTCAGCTGGAGCTTGAGCTAGCGCTAGGCCAGTGGTATTCAACCTGTGGTCTGCAGACCCTTGGGGGTATGTGCAAGGGGTCAGCGAAAGAGGGCTATGATCAATCAAATGGCTGTGAATACCCACACTTACAATTCAAAGGGGTCTGCACCTCCATCTGAAATGTTTTAGGGACATGCAAATGAAAAAAAGGTGAAAAGCACTGCTCTAGGAAATGCCAAGGACAGGGGTGTCTGGACTCTTTTCACTCTGTAGGGTTTAGATGCCTTGGTCCACTTGAGATCCTGATCCCAGATCCCTCTTCTGAGGGCAGACGGCGAATTGAGCAGAGCTTGTTCTCTTTAGAAATGCAGCTAGTGGGAGATGGACCCTTTGGATACTGCTAGGGATCTCAGCTGGGAGGAAGGTGCTGGCCTCTGCTTCCTGGTGTAATAAGGGATTTTGCATTCACCAGTCACTGGAGAAAGAGCCAGGGTTAATCAAGGGAGTAGCAGGACTCAGGGCTGTTTCTGTGCATTAGGATCAAGACTGGAGATGCCCGGGGGTGTTGCAGCCAGCAGCACAGGGGCTTTGTGGACTTCAGCACCTGTCCTCCCAGGTCTCCCATAGGTTCGACAAGTGCCCTGGGGTTGTTAAGTCCTTCCCTTCTTAGCCCTCTCCTGCTCTATGAGAGTGTAATGATGACAAGAGTCTGGCAGATCATGCCACATATTTTCTCCTTGGATTTTAAATCTGTCCACAGAGGCACAGAGTTCAGGGCTAGAGGGGACTTTTGGACCATGTCATCCAACTGCCCGTGTAACATTTCACCCGTGAAATTGAGCCCAGCAACTTGAGCTGAGCTAAAGCTTGTCCCCCAGGAATCAGAAGTCACAGCAGAGGTGATATCTTTTATTAGACCAACTAGATTTTTGCAAAAAAAATCTTAAAAATAAAAAGATTTTTTTTGTGGTTGCAAAAATCTAGATGGTCTAATAAAAGATATCACCTCTACCATGACTTCTGATTCCTTTTGCCTGTAGGCCAGAGGTGGGCAAAATGCGGCCTGTGGGCCGGATGCAGCCTGCCAGGCCATTCTATCCGGCCTGCAAAGCCCATAAAAAAAATTAGAAAATTAATATTTATCTGACCCTGGCTGCCTGTCATGTGGCCCTCAATGGCTTGCCATATCTCAGTAAGCAGCCCTCCACCCAAAATAATTGCCCACCCCTGCTCTAGACCAGTACGGCTACAAACTGGATACCTGTCGCCCAGTAAGGCATCTAGTCCTGATTTGAAGATATTAAGGCATGGAGAATCCTCTCATGTTCCAATGGTTCATGATCTTCGCTGATTAAAAATCACTACACAGACAAAAATTGTACCTAATTTGCAGTGCCCTGAGCTCTGGAGCTTTTGCCTTACATCAAGCCTGCAATTCATTGATTTAGGGCTAAAGGGCCTACAGGGCAAAGTGCGCCATTCTGCAGTGGAAGAAATGATTTTTCTCGAATCTGTCATTTGCAAAAACTCTTCTCTTTAAAACCCTAAAAGATGGAAAGTGCTATATTCATATAGGATGCTATGACTTCTGCAGGTTTCAGAGAGCTCATAATAATAAATGTCCATCTATCTGCCTTCTCGATATAGGTCACTGGAACATCTTCAGAGCTCAAACATCAGAACTTAAGATGACAGAAAGTCCAGAGAAAGAAACAAAGAACTTGTGAAGAAAAAAATTATATAAATATATGAAAAAATGCATTATTAAATAAACTGGCACAGCAATAAAAGGAAAAAAAAAAGACTAATGTAAATTAAAAACTCAAGCAACCAAGCCAAACCAGCGACAACAGATCTGAGTGTGAAATACAGCTACAACCATGGATGTGACACCCTTGGGAGTGCTCCAACAGATGGGCAGGGGGTCAACCTGCTTTCTTCTGCTTCTCCGAGATTTCAGGTGCGTGAAGAAAGGCAAAGTGGGCAGGAGAGATGCCTGGAAGGCCTGATTCACTGCGAAGGAAGAAAACGCAACCCCCTGTCTCCAGCTGCTGGTACCTCTCGAGAGCATCATGAGCTGATGATGAAACAGCATGGGAATCTCCTTCCTTCCACCATGACCAGCTTAGAGGGAACCTGCAAAGAGAGAAAATGCCCTGTTTTCTTTCTTGGCATTTTTGTGATGTACAACCTTCCCCTACCACCACTCCCACCTCCGTAAACAATATTATTTAGGGCTATCAGAGCTTTATTTCTCTGTTGTAGCTGGAAGGTTTCCTGGAGGACTTGAGACCTGGTGATGTCCTTATCCCATCCAACGCCTAAGCCAAGGTTCAGCCTGGTTCTCAGCACACACAAAACGTGAGTCCTCTGAGGAGTGCTGCTAGCTTTTCTGGACTGAACTATCTTTATTCTTGAAGTCAGGCGTGTGCTCTGGAATCTGGCCGAATCGGGGCCCTGAACAAGCCGCTAAGAGGAAAGAGGATGCTTAGTTCAATTGTTTGCGATGACTTGTATTGGGTTTCTTTTACTTATGACCTGTTTAATCCAAACTCCTGACCAGCAGCAGGAAATAAGGCTCTCCTTGTGAGAGACTCAGATATCCTTCTCACTCATTGGGCATGTCTACATATGCATTTATGCTGGCTTCAATTGGCTGCACAGTAAGTTACTGCGCATTAAGTGGGAATAGGATGGTGTCTACACGCACAGGCATTAAAGCAGATTAACGCTGTGTGTGGACTGACGTGGGACTGAAGTTAGGCCCAAGTTAGTCCCAAGTCAGTCCCAGGTCCCAAGTCAGTCTACATACAGAGTGTTACTGCGCAGTAAGGTATTTATACATGCATTACTGTGCAGTAACTAGTTGGGCATAAATATGGTACAGGTATCAAATTTATGTTCAAGTTGGCATAAGTTGCCATATTTACTGCACAGTACGGCCGTGCACATACAGATGTGCACGCATACTATGCAGTAGTTTCGGTTACTGTGCAGTAAATGCACACATATAGACCTGCCCATTCAGACATAGGCCAGATCCATTCTGAGTGTTGTTCTCAATGGTCATATCTACACTGTGCTCCATTGTGCTACTCCCGATAGGTAGTAGTCAACAACCATTGATCCCTTTGGATCATGGTGTATGTGTGAGCGGTTACCAGGACCTTCAATGCATATACCTAGGCAAAAGTACTGAGGAGTGGAGGCTGCCCACGAGCCTGCTAATTCATTAAGCATGCTAATTAACTTGACTGGTGCCCTTGTGTGGACACAGCTACATCCCTTCTGACCTAGGAAGCAAGCTGCCTAGAGCAATGCCACTGCTGGGCAGCGTGGTGAGGCTTACCTTGCCGATTTAAGTGGGCTTCCAGCAAAACCAGGGGAGACCAGGTTTGATATTCCAGATACTCGAAGACAGAAAAGGAGCAAAACAAAAAGATTTCTGTGAATTAAACAAATGGGGAAACATGGTTATGTTTCCTCTGTGCCTCACACCCCCTGGCTTCAAGAGCACAAATAGAGCAGAGCCAACAGGAGGAGTTGGGGGATGGATTTCCTCTTTGCAGATCATTTTAAATGAACTTTTCTATACGGTATGCTGATGGGCAGCTTCACATTCTAAAAATTGCCTGCTAAATCCAGAGCTGAGAGGGGTGAATGATGAAGAAGGGTCTAATTCTTCTCTGGTGTAATTCCATTGCCTTCAGTGGACTTACCCAGGGTTGAATTTGATTTACTTTTTTAATCCCTGGTTTTTTTCTCTCTGCTAATTGTTCTTGCTCACCCCTTGGGCTGGTGCAGCACTTCCCCTCGGCTTTAAGAAATCTAGGAAATACCCTGCCACTTGCCTTCCCACATGGACTTCACCTAGGTGAAGCTCAGCTAGCGAAAGGATGACACCTCTTCCCTCACACACCAGCTGCTCCTATCATCAGACAAGAGCGTTTCCCTACTCCAGGAACCTTGCCAAGCCTAGTAAGCAATTATGAACCTTCTTTCTATCCACGGTCTCACCATGCGACCCCTCTCAGGATACCCGAAGCATGTGATGCATGGTGAGAGGCTTATATTCTGCTCTCAGTTGCTTTCATATAGATCCAGAAGGAACCTATGGAAGTCAATGGGCCTGGTGTATGCTTGAGATGAGAATCAGGACCACAGACTGAGAAACACTTTCCTGTGGTGAGTCAAGAGGCAAAATAAATGTCATGCAAAATCCCATGGCATTGCAGAGCCCAGGGTAGCAGAAACTGCCTGCTGGGGGCCATACCCAATAGAGGGGACCTTAATCAGTGAGCAGCCGGATGGCCATCTTAGTAAAGCTGGTACAAATCCAGAACGATTATATTGGCAGCCTTGCAGAGATCTGGGTCTGGTCTATACAGAGTGAATTTGGCAGGGTACCAAAGCCCATTTGGGATCTGATAGGGCTGCAAAGATGCAGTGAGTCATGAGGGAGGCCACATACCAAAGGTGGGACTCACTCTTGATAGACCTTATGCAATAGCCTCCCCGCTCTCCCGTCTCCCGTACAGGGATTAGTTTTCAGCGACTTGGGTTTTACGGAGGGTGAGTTTTCTGGAAGCTCTTCAGCCCGCTTGACTTTCCAACCAGATGTTTAACGGAGGTTGCTGTCCTCCAAGCAAGACACCATTTTCAGACACAGGTGCTGAGCGCGGGGCACTCAAGTCATAGTCGCGTACCTGAAAAAGGGATCTGATTTTCAGGGGTCCAGAGGGCCTGTCGTCAGTGTTGGCAGGCAGGCAGGCACCTGGGTCAGTCGGTGGTGTCTCCAGGTGGGTCTGCACTGCCTCCTAGAAATGCTGCTGAGAAATACGCCCCCCCAGCACCCTTCCTCTCAGCACCCAGCAGCACCTGGAAATCAGGCAGGGTAGCTAGAAGGGTATGGGGTGAGCCTGCTTCTTGGAGCGTGCTGGGGGCCACACACACAGGCCTGCATCTCCACAGCACTCCTGGGCTCCCTGTCAAGCCAACACGTCTTTAGTCATCAAAGCCATGCTTGTGCTGTTCTGTTCCTCCCTTCAGATCCTGGGGGATCCACTTCAAGGGCTCCAAAGCGGATCATAAATCCCCTTGGGCTGTCTTGAGGTGTCATGCAATCAGAGTCTCCTCCTGATGATCCATCCTGAGACACAACTGACCCTTTGGTGCGGTAGCTGAGGGCTTTTGCTGGGAACCAGCATCCCCGCCTGAGTGTATTGCTTTACCTGGCACCCAGCCTCAGGAACAGCCCTGGGGATGACTCTTGGGACTGCATGGGCGGCTGCTGGCAATGCCTCAGCCCTCTCCATAATTGCACGGAGAGCCTAGGTGCTCCCAAGACTCTGGGCCTGAAGATGGCGGCCCACCGTAATGCAATCACGTAGTTGTAGTTTGGTTGCGGGTTTTTACACCTGCACTTCTCACCCTCTCTGCTGCCCACCCCGAGGGGACTGAAACTCCCTGCTGCTCCATCTTCCTCCTGAGGACCAGCCAGGGAGCATTACAGGAGATAACTTGGCCCATGAAGCAGGTGCCCCCAGCGTGCCCTGCCCGGCGGGTGTTATAGAAAGTGGACTCCATCCACACCCTCCCCAGGTGCAGCAAAACCCTGCTGATGACCACCCCCCCCGCAAGAACAAGCCTCGCTTGTTCCTTGATCCAGGGCGATCCAAGCCAATGCTATGGTTGTACTTACTTTCACTTGAAACTTGATGTTAATTTATATGGCAATGAAGGGGCTGGTCCTGCTCTCAGTGAAACTAGTGGCAAAGCTCCCATGGGTTTCAGTGGGGGTGGGACAAGGCCCTGCCGGTGGCACCGCGAAGCCTGGCAAAATGCCACAGCGGCTGTTGGTGCCACAAAGTTTGGACACTCCCCCTTGGCTTTTACTTTCAAGTCAATGACCTCTGCTTGGGAAGAAACATTTCCTCGCTAACATAGCCTGCAAAGATATAGCCTCTGGAGCTAGCAGCTCTCTGGCTCCGAGAGCCTAACCAGTGCACTAAAGGTAGCTATTTAGCACATTATTATCCTGCATTTATATATCCTACATAATATCAACAGTACTATATTCACGGGAGGGAGTATCTCCCAAAGGGAAAACATAACCATTTCTTCTAAGTTCATAAGAGGAGGGTGTGCTGTAGCACCGGCATTTACACTGACTGGAAAGAGCTTTGGGGGATTTTCAGATTGTGCGGTATATGTATTTATCCCTGTTTTTGGTTTTGATAAATCTATTTATTTGGAGATCCATATCTGTCTGATTAAAGTGTTTTCTCAACCTGCCTGGCCCTTTCTGAGCACTGTTTTTTGGGCCGTGATGAGATGTTTCCCCTCCGTGTCTCACAGACCTCGCACTCGTCTATCAGAGGCCCCCGTGCATTTGAGCCTTGCACACTCAGGGATGTGTTTCTCTTCACAACACCTTGGCGGGGTGGAGCAGCAGTGGCGGTCCCATTTTACAAATGAGGCCCTGATGCACAAAAGGGCTAGGGGAAAATTTTGGTCGAGCCCCCAGATGTCTCATACACAGCTGCTGGCACAGCCCTGGCTTCCCTGACCCTCACCTGTGTAGACACACTGGTCTCCTGTTCTGTCAAAGGGGACCCAGCATAGGATCATAGGCAAGTAGGGCTGGAAGAGATCTCATGAGGGCTGTCATCTAGTCCAAACATCTCGAATCATCCCTGATTGTAGAAACCAGCCCAACCAAGTGTCTGTCCAACCTGCTTTTGAAAACCCCCAAGGATGGAGATGCCCCAGCTTCTCCAGGCAGCCTGTTCCAGCGCTTGAGTCCATCCTCCTAATTTCCAATCTAAATTTCCGAAGCCGCAGCTTGAAGCCACTTCTCCTAGTCCTCTCCCCCACAGCCAGAGAAAAAAAGTCCATCTCCATCCCCGCTGTAATTGCCCTTCAGGTATTTGAAGACAGTTATCAAGTCGTCCCCCCACCCCAGACTAAAGAACTCGAGATCTTTCAGCCTTTCCCCATACATCTTGCCTCCCAGGCCCCTAATCATTGCTATCTCTCTCTGCTGGGTTTTTTCTAATTTGTCCGTGCATGTGTAGCTTGCGCACCCTTGGAAGAAATCTGCTCTCGTTTCATAGATTCATAGATTCATAGATTAAGGGTCGGAAGGGACCTAGTAGATCTTCTAGCCCGACCCCCCGCCAGGGCGGGAGAACAACAAAAACCCCAAAAAGAGAAATGGGACTCAAACGA